TAGATTTCTCTGCGCCTTTGCTCCACTGCTTTCCTTGGGATGGGTCCATTGTTGTCTAGATTATTCTCTAACAACTGGAAACCGTGGACTCAGCATTCAGCCAGACAAAATCAGATAGGGTAAAACAGCTTATTGGCATGTACACTGTTGCAGGACATGGAGACACTAGTGATACAAGACTAAAGGTTAGTGACCAAAAAGATGCATTGGGACATGTTACAGTCACTGAAACTTTGGTCTCTAATGTTTTAAAATAATCTGGCACAAGTGACTGTTCTGACAGCTGATTTTATAGTCAGAGGACAGGTGGATCGGATGAAGGCCAATGAAAACAGGGCAGAGCTGCGCAGGAGTGTCGAAACGTGAACCATATGAACACTACTCCCATAATATGAAAAAATGTCCTTGATGGTGAAATATACAAAAAGCTGTGAAGTTTCAACCATACCATGACAACGGTTAACACCTGAGGTGAACCCCATGCTGTTTTAACTGGAGCCTTAAAGAATTGTACCTGCTTAGAAAAAGCAGGCTGAAAAAGTGAGGAGAATCTAATCTGTGCTGCTACCTTGTTCCCCTTCACATCTACCATGGGTCTGCAAGAGCAAATGATGGCTTCAGGAAGGAGGGCAGCTGGGTGGACCATGAGCTATTTCTCTACCAAAAGCTACTGTAGGAATAAAATGGTTAGGAGGGGAGAAGAGGGATGAAGCTGGACCAGTGCTGCGAGACATATATGGACCTTTTTTTTTCTTTACTACACATGAAATTTAAGAGAAAGGAATTGGAAAGAGAGAAAAAAGGACAGGACACTATTTCCCCCAGTGGGAGAGGAAATGAGGTAAAGTGGAAAGGGCTAGCTCAGAATTGAGAAATGGACTAAACCATCCCCAGAGGGGGGACTGAAACTCCCAACTATATGGGCTTCTATCTAAAATGTACCTAACATTGATTGATGATTTTTTTGTGTGTGTTTACCCTGCCTACATTTTCCTTACTCTTCAGCACAGCTCAGGGCACTTTCTGCTTGTGTTCATTTTGTGTGTGTGTGTTTGTGTCTGCAAAGCCAAATCATCATGTGCCAGGCAATCCCCGCTCAACTGCCCTGACATTCCCAGGGAGCGGAAAACGTATCCTCAGCAACAATCGATAGTTCATCTGCCCCATCTGCAGTCCAAGGCAGCTCTATCTCCAGTGACTCCCTGCGCTATTAATTCTGTGTCCCACCGTTTCCTCACAGTGTTTCAGATTAAACGGCAGCACATCTACTGGAGTCCTTTGCTCACAGAAGGAGGTATAAAGAAAAACTGCGAAGGTTGGAGATCCAGAGGAGCTTTTTCAGTGTCTGCTAAAAGAAATACTGTCAATTTGAGCTTCAGGCCACATTGGGCTGCTTTACTCTATAGGGTTTTAGAAACACCAGATCAAAATCAATGAGACTTAGAAGAATTCAAGACGACAGCTTTCCATACTGTTTGATATATTAACAAAATAAGTTCAAGATTTTATTAATTTAAAAAACAGTATTGATCTCAGATGGGGAATTAAATGATATTGTCACATTTTTCTAATTTATAAGGAACACTTTTAATAAGTAATGTGATAATTAATTAGAATATGTTGATACCCATTCGGAATCAATTGAGAACTATTTATATCTCCCCAATAAATTAATTACACCCCTAATCAATACATTTTAGGAGTAAGTTTACTATGCCAAGAATGGTGCTAACTGCCATTGAACTACTGCAGCAATGTGAATGAGCCTGTCTTCCATTAATGGCTCAACAACTTCAAAAATAGAATAAAGAGAACTCTAAAGTTAGATATTTAATATAATGTACAGATAACCTAGAAGTAATAAGAAGCTTAAGAGTTTCTTTTGCCATTGTTTTAACAGTGCACATTTAAAGCATACTGCTTCGATCTTTGATTTTAGATTATTAAGACTACCTCTAGAGTATAGAGTCATATATCTACTATTCATTTATGCTGTAATGAGACCCTTATGAAGTTACATAATTACATTTACATAAAAATAATACCAGATGTTGGTAAACTTCTAGATGTAGCTCACTATCTATGGTTATTTTTAATATAAGATGCGATAGACAGCTTCAGGATGCACTAATTCCTACCTAAAGACAATTTAGAAAGACCAGCTAACATAACAGTCATGTTTCTGAGCTGTGGGAGGAAGCTGTGTTGTCACAAGTTAACCTACACATTTGCAGCTAGAACAGAAAAACTCCATTTAAAAAATACACTCCTGCTACAAAGTAGGATTGCTAACCACAGCTCTACCCTGCTACATTCTTTGCTACAGGTAATAGTGATTAGCAGATTCCTATTTTACATTAAGGAAAAGTTTTAACTATTGACATCTGACCTCAGATTTTTGTGTTGTGTCTGTCTTCTAATGAATTGAGGGACACGCTTTTGGTGTTGTTGTTTTTTTTCTCAGGCATTTTTCCAATTTAGCTGCGTCCCCCATCTTCTCATATCTCTCACAGCAGGGATCAAAGCAGAAAAGCCTCTGGGGCAAACACATGCTGCTTCTACTTCACTCTTTCTGCCTTTAACAAAGAACAACACACACCGCCCTGCACTTTTAAAACAAAATTCACGACAAGCATGAGCTTTACAGACATAATCGTGAGTGCAAACAGCCTCATTTTACCTCTGGAAACATCCAGTGACTTGCTCTGTGTGGATTAGTCTCCTAAAGCATTCCCTTTGAAACCCTGCAGGCAGGGATTTCTTTTTAGGTGATCACTGGCCTAAGCAGCTGTTACATGCAGGATTAGCAGGTTCTGCCATTCACAAAGAATACAGTCTGTTTAAACTAGCTGGAGGGGAAGGAAAGCAGTCAGAGACAAGGGCAAAGGGAAGAGGGTGAGGTTATGACAGGCGGGAGAGGTGGCAAAGTCTTGGATTAATAAAGAGGAGGTGAGAAGAGGGAGAAAGGGAGGTGTTAGAGGAAAAATTGGTAGCAGATGATTAGAGAAGAGGAGGGAGATTTGCAGGAAAAATGGATGAGAGATGATCGAAGAGGAGCAGTGGAGAGGGACCAGGATGTGTGAAGAGAAGTGTGAAGGGCAAGAGCAAGGGAAGAGGCAGAGATTCCGAGAAGAGAAGCAGACAGCTTAAATGCATCTAATTTAGTGAGAACCAGACCTCCGCCAAGGAGGGAATGACAACGAAAGTGTCGTTCCCCTTCTGTTTTTGCTGCAGTTTTGTGTTTTGCTGTATAATATCATTCCGCTTCTCTCTCTTTTAGCGTGGAAGTGTGTCACCTTTGTAATTCTGCTGGTACAAGGTGTTTACAGCGAGGAAATGTTGATGGGGCGATAACAGGCCAGGCTGCAGGGGTGGAAAGACATTTTTAAACAATCTCACTTGTCTCTTGTGCCTCTCACCTCTCTTGCTTCTGATTCCTTCTTGTATGCCACATTTTCAGCCGTCTATGATACCTGCTAATACAGTGCCTGGAAAAAGTGTCAAAACCCTACAAAAGGATCTTTATTATGACTTTACTAAAACTCTAATGTTATTATTTGATTTTTCGCTGTTGTTTTTTGTTTTTTTGTTTTCATAGACCAACATGTAGTTGACCAACTTGTGATTCGGAAGTAGGATTTAGTAAAGCGGCATGCCACTTTTCATATTTCCATTGTCAGTAATATATGACCAAAACCTATATCACAATATATTTCTTAATCTTGGAGGATATGATATAATTTCAATATCAGTGTAAAGAAAATAAAAGCGTCAATAAGACTTCAAAGAATGCCCACAACAGATACAATCTTATAACAGTTACAGTATTTGCCATGTTTACAAATCTCCTCCAATATAAATAAATATTTGCTTGAAGAAGCAAAACCGGTAAAACTACTTAAAACTCTCAAAGGTCAGTTGGTGACAAAAGCTGTAATCATAGACTGTAATTTGTATTAAAATTTTTGATATATCGTTGTAATTGAACATAACACAATAATAATGTGGTATTACTTATATTAAAATATTGTCCATACTTAATTTATTGTTATATCTTACATTGAGTTGTTTTGCCACATAAAGTTCATATAAGAATATCAAAAATGTGTTTTTGTATAGGCCAACACAATATTGAAAAGGTTATAAAAGCAATGTGTGGTCCTTCTTTTCTCTGCTGGTCTTTGCTATTGCGTTTTTCATCCTGACTTTTCCCTTTCAACTTTCAGGTTAGCTTCTTTAGGAGGGTGCATGGCAGCAGGGTGGGGGCAACTTTTTTACTTTTCTTTGTTTCATGCATCATAGCGCATTTCAGCTGAAAAGTCAACACAGCCGGTACCCTCTGCCAGTGGTCCTTCATCTTCCACTGCTCTGTCACTCACCATGTTTTCCATCGCTCTGCTGTGCCCTGTGCCCCCCAATGCTTTCAGCCTATTCTACTGAAAAAGCACAGGACGGGGACATTCAAATAATCATGTTCACTCTGAGACTATCTTCAATATGCTGCCATGCTGAGAAGTGCAGTCAGACACATTGCATCTGCAGTTTCTTTGCATATTTATTTGTTTCCAGTAATAAAAGAACACACACATATACATCAACATCTTTGCTCACTCTCAGTCATATTTTGTCCCTGTATTCTCACTTGGTGTTTTATTTATGGAGCATTGTGCCTATTTAAAGGGAAATTTAATTGAAAGCACGTGTTAATCTGATAATAGCATGGAGCAATGGAGCCCCAACACCGGTATCACCTTGGGTACGTAACACCTTGTGTTACATTGCTGCTTTATTTCATGCCTCAGAGTTCAGTGCTGTGTTGCCTAGTCATTGATACCATGCTGATTGGCAATCTAACACTTGATATGCAAGGTATGCACTCAGTTCTGATCTTGTTTTTTCTTGTTTGTCTTCTCCCTGCTCTTCCTCTTACCCATCTACATGCATTTATCCTACCCCTCTACTTCTCTCTATCCTTCTTTATTCCACCTTTCTCTGTCTAGGATGGATATTACTCCCATCGGCCAAAGGAGAAAAGTAGAGTTGACAGCAACAATGAGAACTCAGTGCCCAAAGACTTTGAAACTATAGATAATAGCAACTTTGGTGCCCGTTCACACCGGCAATCCATAAGGGCCACCAGCAGTAAGCAGCGAGAACGTCTTCAGGGGAAGGCACACGTCCAGCAGCAAGCCTGGCATGACAGCTCCCCTAGACTGGGCCGCAGTTCCAATGAGATTTTGTCCATAGTTCACCAGTCACTGGAAATGGGTAACAATGCCTCCTATCCTGATGGCAATGGCATTATTGGAGGTCTGCAGCAGCACACTCGTGCCTCTCTGGCCCAACCTGCCCAGTCTCAGCACAGGCACCAGCATCCACACAGGAAGCAGGCAACTACAGCGACACTGGAGGTGACGTACGATCAGCCACCAAAGTGTGAGATTAGCGGCAAGGAAGCCATTTCTGCCCTGTCTAGAGCCAAGACCAAGGAGTGTAGACAACAGATTGCTGAGGTCTACTGTAGACACAAGGAGGGCCAGCTGATGCCTGATGCAGTAACTCGTTACTGCCCCATTGAAGGTAAATGCATTGTCCACAGTCATGGATTAATGTATTCATAAGTGGTACATTTTGAGCTTTTAATCAAGAATATTGGGTGATATGTTAGTGACCTAGACTGCTGTAGGTCAGGAGTACTGTAACAGCCTGCTCAAAGTAGCACACTGAAACACAGAATAGTTGCAACAGAAAGTTTGTTCTTTTTTTCTTTGGTATAGAAATTGCAATCATCTTTCAGTGTTATTGTTAAATCTTGATTGTGAAAAATCCTTAAAATAAAACCTTTGAGAAAATAAAACACCTTTAGACAAAAAATTAGGAGAGAAGTTCTTTGAAAAAAAATTTTGCACTCCTTGAATTTATAAAATTTCCCTTGAAGAAAAATTTTCCTGTAGAAATATTGGAATTAGTATTTACAAAAAATGAAGCTTGCTCCCAGTGTGCCATGTGATTTTGTTTGTTATGTCTCAGGGTGTGTATGTTTGTTGAAATTATGAAATGGGAAGTGGGTGTCTGACTACAAGGGGTGATTGTCTTCACAGCTTTTGGAAAGTACACAAAGTTAACCTCTGGAATAGCTATCTTATTGGATTCTTCGAGGAAAAAGACAGACCAAAGCATCAAGACAGGATTGCATTTCATCTCTCTACCAAGAAATTAGGATAAGCTAAACACTGAATCAGTGTATTTTCTAAATAATTTTTTTTTTCATAAAATGAAGAGCATTATGGAAAAAATGTATCATCCTCTTCAACAGATCATTCAATAACAGAGCCTCTAACATTCAGTTAGAAACTTTTCCAGAATTGCTATGAGACAGATTTCTACAGAAGTTCCTTTAAACCATCAACATCCACAGTAGAAATCCATTTCATATGACTAAGCAATATTTAAGTTCATTTGGAGATAAATACAGAGATTGATTGCATCATCAATGAGTTTTTGTCCAAGAAAGATGCCATTAAACATTGAGGCATTTGACCTGGACTGATCTCTATGGGAATAAAAAGTAGATGAACACTACAGGGTAAAATATGCTCTAAAACAGTGGCCCCCAAACTTTGTTGCGCCTTGGACCAGATTAATGTCAGACAAAATTTTCATGGACTGTTCTGTAACTATAATACTCACTGGTCATTATGGTAACAAAGTCCAGTAAAACAGTCTACAAACTACTCACAGCAGTGAATCATTGGGATCCCTGAGCTTTTTGCATGAGACAGTTGGAGTATACAGTGGGAGGTTTCATGTAACCTACAGTCTCATGGTGTACTTCTCTCAAGAGTGAGTCAATTCCGCATGTAATAGAGTGAATCTGGCCATTTTTCAAAATAAAGTACCATTTAGACTAGGAAAAAAAATCTGCCGACAATAATAAAAGTAATTTTATTTGTACCAAATGACACATTGACCCTCTTGTATTCGCGATCTTGTCCTTTCGGTCATTAGCCGGATCTCATGACCATAGGTCAGGGTTGGAACACAGATTGATCTGTAAATCAAGAGCTTTGCCTCCCGACTCAGCCCCTTCTTCACCACGACATTCCTAAACAGCAACCGCATCACTGCTGATGCTGCACCGATCCATCTATCAATCTCATGCTCCATCCGACCCTCACTCGTGAACTAGACCCTGACATACTTCAACTCCGCCACTTGAGACAAGGCCTCTCCACCTAACTAAAGAGGGGAGTCCACCTTTCTCCTGTGGAGAACCATGGCCTCGGATTTGGAGGTGCTGATCCTCATACCGGCTGCCCCACACTCGGCTACAAACCACCCCAGTGCACGTTGGAGGTCCTGGTTTGATGAGGCCAACAGGACAACATCATCTGCAAACAGCAGAGATAATATCCTGAGGTTCCCAAATCAGACAAACCCTCCGGTCCCTGGCTGCGCCTAGAAATTCTATCCATTATTGTAATGAACAGAAGCGGTGACAAAGGGCAGCCCTGGCGGAGACCAACATGCACCAGGAACAGGTCTGTCTTACTGCCGGCAATGCGAACCAAGCTCCTGCTGCAGTCATACAGAGAGTGGACAGTCCTTAACAGAGGTCCCTGGACCTCATACTCCCAGAGCACCCTTTACAGGGCACCACGGGGGACACAGTCGAAAGCCTTCTCCAGGTCCACAAAACACATGTGGACTGCTTTGGCGAAGTAGACCTTAACGGAGAGGCTGAGGAGTGTGTTCCCCCTGTAATTGGAGCACACACTCCGGTTACCCTTTTTGAAGAGAGGAACCACCACCCCAGTCTGCCAATGCAGGGGCACTGTCCCCCGACCGCTACGCGATATTCCAGGGACATGTCAGCCAAGACAGTCCTACAACTACTCAGGACGAATCTCATCCACCCCCAGGGCCCTGCCACCTGAGAAGCTTTCTAACTACCTCAGATACTTCAGCCTGGCTGATGGGCTTTCCCCTCCTAAGGCTGCAGACGGTTTGCCAGAGCACTCTTGAGGCCGACTGATAGTCCTCCTCCATGGCCTCTCCGAACTCCGCCCTGTTTGTGTGATTTGAGTCATTCTCCTGTTGCATAAACCCGGTTCCTTATTGGCATGGGTTTTCAAACGGACCACAAAGCAGAATTTTACACTTTACAATAAGTCATTAAGGCTGTGAAACAGCAAAGCAGGCCAAGATGTAACGCGACACAAACCTTCATTCAATTTCCAACCCTGTTTTATCAGTCCACATAATATGTTTTCAAAAGTTGTGCGGGTCATTAAGATACTATTATTTATTTTTTGGCAAGAATGTGATGGTCCTTTGTGTTATGTTTTTTCTGTGCCAGTTATTTCCACCTTGGAATTCTTCTATGATGGAAGATTTTGCTCAGTGCCTTTCTATTCTTCAATCATAAGCACTGACCTTGACTTGGCCAAGGGGTTTTAATATAGTCCTGTTCTTTTTTGTCTTGTATCATCCTGTTATTGTGTATATTTGAAGTAATATTGATAGTCTGCCCAAATATTTTAGCTTACATCATGTTTTCAGACAGTTTCTGTTTAAAGCTACAGTGTGTAACTTTTAGCGACATCTAGCGGTCAGACTGCAGACTGCAGCAACATGAACATCTCCCCCCCACCGCTTCTCCCTCCCAAATGTACGGCGAGCGTTACGGGACAAAATGTCTTCCACGACGTCCGCATCACCTACCTTCTCAAGTGATGAGGTTTGTTTACATAGATAATTTTACAGATAGTATTTCATTAGTCTGTGTAGGGTATAGATTTCATGTAGACTTAAGATAATAAATATACCCGTTATTTTTTCTACATCGTTGTGACGTTTTGTCGATCTCGCAATCACTAGTTTGTTGGCTCTGCGCTGCCGTAGCGCAAAGATGTCTGCCTCCATGGCTGCGAGACCCGCTCCTATGTAATTATAAATAACGAATTCTAAGGCAACGCAAATATTAAGGTTAAGAGGCTGAGCTCGTAGATGATGATAAAATAACATAGTTACGTATAATATATTACATTTCTGACTGTATATCCCTGTAATTATTACACACTGTAGCTTTAAGTTCTTTATTAAGTCTCCAGGCCAAGCAGTGATAAAGTCTGATCTTTTTCAGCCAACATTTTCTGTTTGCTCAGGCTTTGTCTGATATTAAAACATGCTTGGTTATGTGAGAAACGTGTAACAAAAATTGAAAGAAGACACAAGGGGACAATTATTTTAGTTATGCTAGCAAGGCATATCTTATTATACCCATTTTTTATAATCACTTTGATAAAATTAAACTGACATCTTTTAAGCTTCCCTGTTAAGACATGTCATGATACTATAAATACAGTAGGTAGATATAAATGATATAACTTCAACATTTAATGCACAGTTTATACAAAAGTAGCAAAATTTGACAAGGGATAGAATTCAGCCTTTTCTTATTTATCATAACTAGAGCTGTACACATATCAAAAAAAGGGCAGGGGGAAGTTATCTGAAAGAGAAAATCTTGTTAAAAATATTCCGAAAGGTGTCCAGTCTTTTTGTCTTGTTTTTCCATTTTTATTTTCTGTTAGACCTGCCTAATCTGTGCTGTGTAAGCTTTTTTTTTCCTTTTAAGGAAACAGAAAATAACCATTCCACAAATTACTGTTGTAATTGCAATTTTTCATCTAAGTCAAGGTACCCTCTCAACACCCACACACACACACCCCGACACCACCGCTCCCCCCACCATGTGTACTTGGTCAAGTAAACAGTTGGACAAAATTGGGATGGTACTTGTGTTTTCTCCAAATTGGTTTCTCGGTTTGTTTCATCAAGCTGGCCACAGAACACAGGTTTCCTCGTCTCTTTCAGACACACTACACTCACAAATTTATGGACATCTGCAGGCTGGTTGTGGATTTTGTAAACAAAATCTGTTGCACCAGCAGTGTAGCATGCATCAGCAGACATGTTTAGCGAACACTGCATACACATACATGCAAGCGCAAAAAAGGAAGTGGACTGAATGCAATGCGGACAGCAGGAGAGAAGGAGAAAGCTATTATACCTCCTGCCTGTTCTGCTGAAATACCTCTTCGTTCTTTGCTCATGTTGTTATAACTTGACAAAGCACAATGACTTCGCAACTTTGGTGCATTCCCTCTCCCACGTCAGCCTTAGCGTCGTCTGTCTGTGCCTGGTCATTTTGCACAGCAACTCGCATCCCACTCAAACAGACAATTTGATCAAAAGGGACAAAGAAATTGAAGGGGCTCTCCCCTAGTGACTTGGTTGTAACAACACCGCAACTAAATTTAATCACTTTTCTTCCTCCTCGTCTGTCGGCTGACTGCCAACGTGTTATCTCCGCTTTATTCCCAATCAAGTCCTGACCTTGTTAGCTAAAATATGCCCAATTTGGTTTTGATCAGCATTCTGTCCTTGGGGCCTGAGCAAGATTAGCAATTGTGTTATTTCTGTATTTGTCGTTGAATTTATGGAGAACATGTTCACCCTTGGTGATTTGATATGCTTACTTTTCTAACCATGAAGTGACTGCACCTCGCAGCTCTGAATCAATAAGCTGGTTCTTCCTGGTGGGAGTGGGCCTGTCGGGAAAAAGTAACTAACAAAGTGGTAGGAATTGGTAAAATATAATTTTTAAATCTTATTCGATTCTAAACACGTAGTAATGTGTTATTCATTTTACAAAATGCATAGACAGCAAAAAAAAATAAAAAATAGCTTTATGTCATAATAGAGGTGATCAGATAGAGCATAGCTGGCCATTGCAGACGAAGAACGGAATCAGTTATAGTTCAAATATTAACAAAATATTATTCTACCAAACAATTTGCATAATCATGGTGTTATGTAGTTACTCAAGTCATATGCTTGATAGACACATCTGTACAAAGCTCAATTGTAGTTGTACTTTTCGTGTTGCACATAAAGTCAATAACCTTTTCCTCATCAGAGACAGAAAATGGATGGAGACTAAATCAGGGCATACTGATTTTTTTCTAAAAGAAAACCTGTTAGAGTTTTGGAGTTGGTGTTCACCTTTTAGCAGACAACCACTATATTTTCATTTGTTAGAATGATTTGGTCATAGTGCATACTAGGGCTGCAGCTAATGAATATATTTTGCAAATCAATTAATCTATTGATTATTTTTTTGACTAATTAAACCCGGTGAAACTAAAACTTTTCCACTTGAGGAGTTCTGGATAGAGCATCTTGACAGACAAAAAGGTGTTTTTTTTATTTTAAATGTAAAATCTTTACATTTTGTACAGTTTTGATATAATTGCTTCTCTAGGTGGGTCGCTCTTTCAGCTAAAAGCATGTTTTAGAATCTCTACTCTGCAGCTAACAATTATTCAATTACTAAATAAGTTGACGATTATTTCAATAATCGATTAATAACAATTAATTGTTTCAGCTCTAGTGCATACTCAAATCCAATAAGGAATCTATGGAAAGATCTATAGAAATAATAATGGCAGTTTATGCCTGGGAATAAAAAATATATTAGTCAATGAAAAGAATATAAATATTCATAACCAGTTTGTATCTGCAGACCTCACTGGATTTGTTTTGCAGCAGAGGCTAAGCCTGAGACCTTTTTTAATGCCGTTTGGTACATCCCGTTTGTGACCTAACTCAGCTCTTCTTCTAACCTGTTATATGAACAGTTAAGATGGAGGGTGTGTCAGAGCTAGACATTACACTGGATGATGGAGGAAGAGAACAGGATGATAGCAGATGAGGGAAAGGCAGTTTCAAAGATTGATAGCAAACTCTTAGCTCAGGTACACAGTCTGCTCAGAGACTATGGCACACAAAGCTGCTCTTCTGCAGATGAACAGGTTGACTGAATTGACAATAAAAAAAAGAATAAGCTTACACATGCACACAGAAGTGCTCATTAGTTCAGCCAGCCAGTCTTACTCACACTTCTTGGTGTGCTTTGAGAAGCGACCGTCCAATTATCCAACTGCAAAGCTAGCCAGCGGATCTTCTTAGTCGGCCACCAATTATTGTTCAATCTGATACAGCCCGGAGCAGATTTCCCTCAGAGTGCACACACACAAACACACCTAAACACACACAGACAAAGGTACAGCAAGAACTAAGCATGGGTGGATGATAGGCTACAAGGCCAGTTAGAACCAAGGTCGTGTCATTGATCTTTCAATAAATCCACCTTAAATTCCAGTAGATACAGATATTTCTATAGAATATAGAAATAACAGATACATGTACCAAAATGCAGTGCAATTAGAAGGCATCTTGGCCAGCAGAGAGGGCTTTTTTTTTTCCTTCTTTAGGGGAATAAACAGTCCACATGTCAGCATTCCCTCAGGTTACTGTCTGCATCACAGACAGGCCCTCAGGAGCCTCAAATTATGAAAATTAATCTCCTTTGAGAGTGTCTATGGGACAGAAATCTTTATGTGTATATGTGTTGTGATTAGAAAAGAGTCAGAAACCAACAATGTCTGTGATAATGTTAGAGTGGGTGGGGGTGCAGGGGGGGTAAAAGCTTTTCCATTCTATTCTTAGGATACAGGTTAAAAATCTCAAAAGGTCTTGTATCTTATAAGGACTCACAGTGCACACTGCTTTCTGAAAGAGTGCAAAAGCACTGCTCCGAGCAAAGGTCCCGCACACGCTGTAGTCAAATATGCTGAACTTTGACCTTGGTTCACAGATGTGCAGTCAATAGAAAGTGGCAAGCAACGTGAACACCACATCCTGCGTAAAGGCCTTTAACAGACATGCTTGTATGATTTTTTTTTTGTGGGTTTGTCCAGCCTGGTAGAAAACCAAGCGGTGCAGCTAAGTTGGGATTTAAACAACTCTCCATGGACTGTATAAATTGTTTAATTTGACAGGCTACGATCAGGGTGTGTGTGCCCTTATTTATATTGTCATTTTTTGCAATGTCCAGGGAGTCTTTAGGGAGTTTGGTATGAAAGGAATGATGGCAGCTTGTCATTCTAAGCTACGCCCTAGATCCCTGAGGAAACTCTTACAGTATTCCTGTCTCTGTAAGGACAGTGGTTACAGCTGTTTTTTTAATGTGGTTAGGATAATTGAAATGGTTCCAATTTAATCACATTATAACTGATGAGTGACTACGAGGGTTGTGCTTCTGTGGTATAACATATTGTTTTCAGTATCTTGTTTGGTTTTGTGAATGTGACAAATCTGGGCATAATGCTTCTTTCTCTCCTTTTTTTTCTAGCTGCAATACATTCATTGTGCCAGGAGTGCACTATTACCTTAGTGCTGTCTTTAAATTTTACATTTTATATTAAAATACATACAAACAGTGTGTCTGAACAGGCTGAACTCAAGTGTTCTCATGGTATTACATGTTTCCTTTAAATTCTACGTGAAAGATATTGGTGAAATTGCCAAACATATGTGATTTAACTACATCTAAAGAAGACAATAAATTTGTCTTTGTATTAACTTTCTCCTTCCCCATGATGAACTACTGTATATATACTGTAATAGATAAGGATCCTGCATAACTATTCCCATGCTGTCTGTTAACGTGTACAGGTAAAGCCAACGTGAACATTCAGTGGGATGAAGACTCTGTGGAGAGCTTTCCACTGAAACCAGTGAGAATAGCGTTTGTTCTGGTGATTCATGGACGAGCTTCACGCCAATTCCAGCGTCTATTTAAAGCCATTTACCACACCTCCCATTTCTACTACATCCATGTCGACCAGGTGAGCCACGGAGAACCTGAAGCACAGTTTGAAACAGGAAAAGGGCCTCCCTAAAAGATTATTTCCTATGCTTGTGTCTCTATTATGTTTTTCAGCGCTCCAACTATTTGCACAGGCAGGTGCTGGCCTTGACTTCCCAATATTCAAATGTGAGGGTGACGCCTTGGCGCATGTCCACCATCTGGGGAGGGGCCAGTTTGCTGACCATGTATTTGCGCAGCATGGCTGACCTCCTGGCCATGAGGGACTGGAGTTGGGACTTCTTCATCAATCTCAGCGCTGCCGACTACCCTATCAGGTACTGTAATAGAGGACTTCACGAAACAGTTAAGGCCATATTCCCTCCATGTCGTACTGTTTTAAAAAGCACCAATCACAATTTCTTCTCCAATTTCCAAACTTATGTATTTTTTAAGCTTTTACCCCTAGAGATTAGGTGAAGTCATTCTTCTTAAACAAAAGATATAAGGACGACAGTCAAAATGTTATTCATTTTCTAAATGATAAATGTTTCTATTTGGAGCAGAGGCTTTAGGATCATATTTGAAGCATTTAATAAGATAAGCCTTGCTAGCATAACTAAATATAATTTCTCCATGTGCGTTCTAAAAAGCAGAAAGTTCTAAAACAAAACTTTTCAGAATCGAATTCCCAATTGATGAGAAGACCATCGGTTAGTATAAAGGATGTCACAAGTACAAGACGTCAACTACCAACATGTTTGATCTGTTTTACATGTTGTTTTCAATCTCTTTTAAGGCTGATAGTGTACATTTTCTTTCCCAATCATTGTTGTTGTTTGTCTTGATTTCGAAAGTGGCCATTAAGGTTTGCTACCCAAGGTGGGGTCATGACACCCACTTTAGGAATAACTGTTCTAAAGGGGCTAGATCTTCACCCTGACATCAAGTTGTACGAAATGACAACAAACTGTTCTAAATACAGCATTTTCAATGACAGAGACTGAAAGATCACAAGTATGAAACAGAGCTCCTTTGCTGCTTCAGTTCCACCTTCCAGTTATGAAATTGTTGTTCTATAGCAGCCTTCGCTCATGAGGAGTCAATATATATATATATATATATATATATATATATATATATATATATATATATATATATATATATATATATATATATATATATATAATTTTGTACTATGTTTGTTACTTCCTACCTAAATTATCTGCTGGTTAAAATTCCCAGTCATCCAGGTCATAGTCATTCCAAAAAAGTAAAAAGAACAATCCACTGGACTTTATCTCCAAGTTTGAAGAGGTTTCACTTCCCATTCAGGAAGCTTTGTCAATTCAAAATGTCAGAAATAGCGTTGAATTATTGAGTCATACAGTAGCACAACAAAGCCTTGTCCTTGCTTAGAAAACATGCAAATTGAAACGGAGCCCACTCCTTTGGAATTGGGGTCATTTGGCTATATAAATATATATATATATATATATATATATATATATATATATATATATATATATATATATATATATATATATATATATATATATAAATATATATATATATATATATATATATATATATATATATATATATATATATATATATATATATATATATATATATATATATATATATATATGGACATACTTGTGGTTACTGCAAAGGAAATTTAAATAAAAAGAAAAGCTCAACCTTAGGATTAAACCACCTGTCATTTCTTTCTATATTTATTTATCTACTTAGTCCACTTATTTATTATTTATGAAACAGGACAGAAGTTTTGGAGTGAAAATAAATCTCAGGTGTTAAAAGCATTTTCTTAAGAAACTGCTATTGTCTTTAGCAGACTGCAATTTTTCACAGCAGCTCATCTGTGGAACATTGACCCTTTCTCTACAAAAAGAGATCATATAAGTGATTCACCCAGACATAAAAAAAACCCTATCAGAAAATAGCCTTAACTGATATCATCAGGCTCTCTTAAAAAAAATTGTAGATATATTGATCCAAACTCCATTTGAACATAACACGACTGATTGGCATGCTGAATGTAAACATAAATAAAATGAATATGACTGCAGTATAATGTTAAAAATGATTTATCTTAAAGAATGGTGTCACCACAGTACTATCCTATTTTTTGTCAATGCAGCAGAAATACAATACTCTCCAGTCTATGCTGCTGTTGTTAACTGTGAGCTTTAAACACTGTAAAACCAAACATATCGATGACATAGAACCTGTGCTTTCTTAAATACAAACCCTAATATCTATTTCTCCAAGCATCTACCTCCTAGCCTCTGACTACATTTAATAGCTTACATGTTAAACTGATGGCAATTTAATTGCCTAAGGTCAATATCCATTGACTTCTCAGGTCCTGATGTGGACCTCGCAGTGCAGAAGTCATCCCCACCAACTCAAAAACAACCCACTTAAGAAGCTGTAAAGTGTAATTAACTGCTGCAAAGTCTACACAGACTAGACATGAAGTCATGGAAATAGCCTTTTGGAGAAGAAATTCTCATGACTAGTGTGAGTTTACAGGCCTTCTGGGATTTGAGGGTCTGCTGGGTTTTTGATGTAGCTCCACAGCAGCCAATTAAAATGCCCCTATTAAGGAGAGAGTTATCTCCTCTGCACAGCCAGATGTCCACCGGTTGAATTTAGACAAGCTGTAATGGCCACTGGGTGAAAGAGCCACAATGTCTCTGCAGCTGGAGTGAAGTAGCTGGAATATTCATGGATTTAGATTGTGGGCTGATTCAGTCTAATCTTTTTGGCCTTACCTTTAACGTGCTTTGATTTTACTGTATGTCGGTGGGGGGGCTGTGTGCAGATGCTTGTCTTACCATGTCAATAATGCTGATCTTAGCCCCTGTTTGAGCAACGCTATGCAGATGTATCCTCTCTGAATGCTTGTTAGACAGTCTGATTAAAGATATTTGCAAATAGGCTGTTTTTTTATTTCCTATCATTTGCATGTGTTCTGTGCTGCTGTTAGCAAAACAGCTGACAGTGGAAGTTTTTTAAGCCCTGTCCGCTAGGAAATAAAATGACTGATGAAGCAAAAGAGGAAGCAGAGAGGCAGAAATGACAGCAAAAGGCCGAAAGAAAGAGAGGTTAGAGGCAGGGAATCAGAGACAAAATGCATGTTTTTGAACCTCGTGATGTAAATATATATAAAAAGAATTATTTTAACTTTGGTTAGGTAGAACATGTTCATGAATCAAGATTGCAAAGTAAAATTTTTATTAAGTGGAACTTATGTGGAAGCCGAAGTGAGAGTAAGTACAATGCTGCTCAAGTACCCTCAAGCAAGAAACTGACATCAATTCAGCATTTTTCAGCTAACAATTTCTCCTATCTTTAAAAGGAATCTGAGGGTAGAAAACATGTTCATACGGGTAAAACATTTGGCTTTACTTCACGTTTATGGAACTACTTTCACAAAAACATAGCGCATATACAGTATACATGCTTTGATTCTGAGAGGTTAAAACGCCTCACATCAGACATGGTGGTTACTAGAACTAAAAAACACTTATTTGAGATAATAAAGAAATACATCTGCTACAAAAATGTCAGAAACCTTTTTTAGGTTTCACTGTTCATCTAGATATAGTTTTAGTTTTAGGCTGTACATTTAGCTCCTTTTTATACATCAAAATGATGCTCCAAGATGCAAACTCAATGTATAGATGTTGCAGCCTCTCCCTCTCCATATCAGGCGTGTATCCTGAATTTAGTTTTAGGCGTTCATTGCTGCTTTGCTTCCCGGAGTCATTATTCTAATATAAATAAGCTTCCTTTTCAGGTTTTATTTATGAAATTGCTTTACAATGCAGTTTTGTATCATAAATGTCTGCATTAATAATATATTTTCCCTGAAAATGTATGACTTTCTAGTCTCGGAGAATATATATTTTTACTCTTGCAAAGATGCAGGTTGTTTTTTTTTACAAAAGTGAACCCCTTTGTGATCTTTTATATATATATATATATATATATATATATATATATATATATATATATATATATATATATATATATATATATATATATATATATATATATATATATATATATATATATATATATATATATATATATATATATAAAGTCAGTAAACTATTTATGGAGCTTGATTTATGAAATGTGATTTACACTGGGCAATGGTGGTTTCTTTTCTCCTTGAGAACACACAATTCATGTCTTGGTCATGGTTTTGCAGCCTAAAAAGTTTCAGTGCTTTGTTTGCCGTGTAATTAATCTGCTTATTCTGCAATAGCAAAGAGATGGTATGAAATTCTTCAGGTATGAAGAATTTGTTTTTGTTTTAATGTCTTTTTACAAAAACAAGTGCTTAAAGGGCTTTTAAAATGTCGATAACATGAACAAGTTGTTTATTTAAAACAATTATTTACGCAAAAATAGCACTTAATATGTTAAGTATTTTTTAGTACTTAGTGTGGAGGAACATAAAAGATTTTGCCATTCTGTTTCTTATATTGTAGCAAAAATACAATAAGCTGATATTGCTCTGGTGTAGCCTGCAATCCACTACTTAGCTAAAATGCTGCTCGTTGCTTGCCACTTGTAGTTATATAACAACATCACCATCATAGGGTGATGGGCTTTCCATTCTGTACTCTGCACACTATGATTGTGTTTAAAATATTTCCATTGAGACAGTTTTCATTTTTGCTGGAAATTGAAAAGTTTGGTTCTAGGCCAACAGACCAGCAACTTCTGTGGGATGGGCAGTGAGAAGCACGGAGGTATTCAATACTTTTAAAAAGCCAAAATAAGTTTATTTTTGTGTGTGTGTCCTGTTTTGACAATATGGTTCTGGGAATCGATGTCCCAGAGCTAGCTGTTAGCCCCGTAGCTTTGCTTTCACCAGCAGACCATTATGACTGTTGCTATAAGGCTCAGCTTGATACTTATATATTAAACTTTAGTGAAAAATTTTTAGGGACTAAATCGTATACAACAGACACAGAGACGGAAAGGGAGGCAAAGAGGTGATGCGCCCCCAAGATATCCAGAGGCACACAAGATCACTTGGAAACATGGAGGGCAGACATAGGTATGGCCGCACCCACCATAGAAGGGCAGACGGGAACACCCGGAGTCTGACCCCCAAAGGGGCCTAACCCAAATGGGGCCCAGTCCCTGAGGGGCCTGACCCCAGAGGCCATACTCCCGGGGTCCCACGGTGCAGCGGCAGCAATCCTATGAGCTTTGCCGGTGGTCTGTCATGTCTAAATTGGACCCGGATGAGAGCCCAGGGGTCCGAGGCCCAGGGGCGCACCACTCCCCA